ATAGACCTGGAGTACCAACAGAACAAGCCTGACAAAGGACTCAGTGAAAAGTCAGAAAGCAATAAAAGAGGACACAAGCATGAAGGAATAGTGCTCAAGGACAAGCATATTCGGAAGAATATACCAACACTGTACAACTCATGACTGAGCAGCATTTACACTCAACCACTACCTTCCACCTACCTCTGACAAAAGCAGACTACCCGAGAATATGACAAAAGACCCTATATCCGATTTTTTTTTGAATAAAAGAACCCGGATATATGCTCGGGGGCTGCTGGGTACATATCCTCAGAAGAGATTTCTGGTTTTTCCAATGACAAAAATTCAAAGACCTTCCAACTTTTTGTTCCAAATAGCAAGAGGCTCGGGGGTTACACTCGGTGAGTGCACTTTTTTTTGAAAAAGCGCACGCCACTCAGAATACTTCTTTAAGATAGGACCACTTCAAGGCTTCACGTCGAAAGAACCCGGACCGAGCTTGATTCGCCGGGCAAAGCCGGAAAACAAGGAGGCCTTTGAGTTCAACCATGAAATGCTCGAGGACTCTACAAGAGGCATATCCTCGGGGAATGTTTTTTAATTTTCCTAGGAATTTTTCAGGGAAGACCCTACAACTCTTTGTTCCAAACAGCAAGAGGCTCGGGGGCTACACCCAGTGGGTGTACTTTTTCAAAAAAGTACACGCCACTCGAAGATCTCACGAAGCGCTACACGGTTTCACTCAAGAAAGCACTCGGACGACGCTTGTTCCTACTCGGCAGGACCTGAAGGAACAAGACGGGGCTTCTAGAGCTCAACCATGAAGTGCTCGAGGACTTGTCGATGCGGGACCCACAGGATACCCGCAAGGAAGAGAGAAGATCTAGTATAACTAGGATTCCTCCCATGTAATCCTAGTAGTAGTACTACCCTGTAATCCTACTATGACTCTACATTGTAAACCGACTAGGACTCTTGCCTCCTAGACTATATAAAGGAGGGCAGGGCTCCCTAGATCGATAAGTCAAGTCTAGGTAATCGCTCCACGGCCTTTTCTGTCTATATAAAGAGAGGCCGTGGGCACCAAAGAACAACAATTGAGCACATACCAATCAATCCAACATAAAGGCTAACGCCAACTGGATGTAGGGCTATTACTCGATCACGGTCGAGGGCCCGAACCAGGATAAACCGACTGTCTCTTGCGTTAACCGCCGAGTTCTGCATATGTCGAAGCCCGAACAACTGCCCCAGGTACCCCCATGGCAGGCTATCGGTGGTAAAACATCGACAATCAGCAGGAGAGTCCCCAACTTAAATTTTTTCATTATGTATAATTGTACAAGTTATTAGGCTTTCCAGGCTCAAAGGTAAAATGGCAAATAGATTACAAAATGACTCTCTCTCTCTCCACTAAGTAAAGAGGAACACTAATGCCTTGCTTGGAATACCATCTGAATGTATAGTTTTTTCACATAAAAATTATTATGGTTCCATTTAGGCAAGCTTATATTCTGATTCAAATTGGAGATTTTTTTCTCTTGTATGGTATCTCGACTTTTAACTAATCTAGAGTAGGTATGGTATATCTCTATAAGCTTGCCTTGAGAGTGCAATACCATGGATAGGACCATAATATTTTTATGTGGAAAACTATACCTCCTTATGGTATGTGACATAAAGACATAAATTGCTTTTAAACACCCTCGAAGAATGGTATAGTGACCTACTCCCCCCGTCCTGTAATACAGTGCATTCTAGCATTCAAAATTTATCCTTAAATATAATGCATTCTAGAGTACAAAAACCATTCTTGCATTAAATACTTTCCATCTAGCAACCAATCACCACCAAATCATGTTGATAATAGCGCCTGATTAGAAAATAAAATAAGAGTATATGCGTTTTTTATGTTCTCTCTTAATTTATCCTAATATTTCTAGAATGCGCTATATTACAGGACGGAGGGAGTATGCTATTAAAAACAGTTGGCAATTCATTTACTCTCCAAAGGTCTATCTTACTTTCCTGTAATGTAATTCATGTCGGCGTGAAATAACGAACAACTCACACACATAAATATGATGAGCATAAACATTGTTTCATGATGATATTTACTTTCTAGTCTATTACAAATTGCACATGAGATGTTTTTGAGTTCATATATAACTTCACATAAGGACTTTTTGACATAGATATTGAAAATTTCAAGAGAGTTTTAATTCCTGCAGAACTATAAGTCTATCTTAAACGTATCATAGACATTGTGATATAATAGATAGTTGCACGCGGACATTTGAATTATGTGCAAATTGTTCATACTTCATAAACACTCAACTAATAGTGACTATTGTCTACAAATAGAATGTTGTGAATGTCACGTTCAAAATATCGTGTTTCAATGGTATGACACATGTCCAAACTTGTTATTTCCTGCACTACTTTAACCGTACTTTTTAGCGAACGAACAGTGTTTTACTCTCATAGTATTTTAGCATAAGCATCAGCATAAACTAAATTTCAGCGAAATGAAGTTGGGGGACCGTGGAAGGCAGCATCACTAATCACTTGTGCTAACTCCCCTGGACCGTCAAATGCCCTACTATTGTGTGCCGTTGCCGTAAAAGTCATGGAATCAAAAGCCACAGCAATTCGAACCGAGAGCACTTGCTTCGATTTCAACTCAAGATCCCCTGCTGGGACGAGCCTCTGCCTCTGCGTGCAGCGTTCGACTCCATGGGCGTTGGCTCATCTTATCAATCACTGAGATACGCTACGCATCTGCTGAGCTTTGCTAGACGTCAGACGTCAGAGGCTTGCAAGAATCTATCTCGGGGGTACATCTGCTGCTCCTGGCAAACTTACATCCAGTCAGATCTCAGAGAGGTAAGACGAACACAGCACTCAACGTCGCTCTTGTACATCACATTTTCTTTTTTAATTAATCAGAATGCCCTAAAATGTGCTGCTTCAAAAGTTGAAATGCCACCTAATTAACTAGATCTAAACTGGAGATTTATGACTTCATGTTTGAACTAATCCAGAATTCTAGGCTTTTTAGTCCTAGCACATACAGTAGTATGCACTGAAACTAAGCTCTCAGTTGTTTCCAAGCAACTGAAATACAGCGTACAAAGAGACCCTGCATTGGAAGCTAGGATGTACTCTATGTACGCACTGTTTTTGGATCCCAAAGAGTAAAAACTAAAAAGCAATGGATCTGTGCTTGCATTGGCACGGCACCAGGCCCCAGGGTGCCTCTTGACTGGAGGCATGCAACGCAGGAACAGGATTCATCTCTGTCTCCCCTTTGCTCAGCATCTGATGAACAAAGCAGTCCACACAATACAGTGCATCTTCAGTTCTACTAGTAAAACACAAGATGACTGGTCAATAGGTTAGCCCCCAGGACCAGGAGCCTTCATCTTTTGGACAGAAACCACAGCTCTTATCTCACAGAGTCACAGTGCCCTCACACTCTCTCTCTCTAGCATCCTTGTCTGCTTTAGAACTCAAGCAAGGCCACTTTGCCTGTTCAAAGCTTCACAAGAAAAGAAGTTAAAGAGAGAAGGTACAATGGAGGGAGAGGGAGGAAACAAAAGAATAGAAAAGGCAGGCTTGCTGCTTTGGCAGGCTGGCTTGGCTGGCGCTTCTCTCTCTCTTTTTTACCCCTTCTCTCCCTTTGCTTTTAACCTGCTCCTGTTTTGTTTGTTTGTGGCATGCTTGATGCAAAAGGTTCATGTTTTGTGGTAAAAACTAGACTGCTAGAGACATTCACAAGACTTGTAAGCCTGAATTTTGGCATGTGGGACTATATTTTGAAACAAAAAAGAAGAAGATAAAGTTCTGTAAGAGAATTGTATGTGCCGGTGCTTCTTTTCAGAGTTCAGACCCATGACCCCTTTAGCAAAATTATGATGTGCTGCTGCTGCTGTGCTGCAGACCATACAGTGGCAATGCAAAAGAATGAACACCTCAAAGAAAACAGGGTATAAAGCAGCTGCGGCCAAAAGAGAGAGGGGAGGAGCTCTTGCCCACATCCCTTTGCCAAGAATCTTTGATGCTTGCTTGTTTCCATGTGAGAGGGAAGCTTGATACTTACTGCTCTCTTTACAAAAAACAAACCCCCACTGGTAGAATCGAATAGCCTTTGTTTCCCCCCAAAAAGCTAAAGTTTTCATCATGCTTAAAACTGTCTTAAATAGCAGTGCTTAGAAGAAGATAGGCCACCTCCCCCTAGTTACACCCAACATATCCCAGCCAGACCCACCACAATGCACCTCTTGTCTGTTCCTCTTCCTCCATGCAATGCAATGCCATGCAATGCATCTTCTGTTTGCTTGCTGCTCCCAACATGTCGCCGGCCTCTTCGGAATCGGAAGCTTCCACGCCTCGGCATGCGCGCTGCCGACGTCATGCTCGGCCCGGCGATCGTCCTGACTTGCCGGTTCCCCTGGAGAAGGCACAAGGATTTGAAACTGGATTAGAAGGGGAAGAAGCCTGAAGGCATGGACTGACTGAGACAGCAGTCTTTGTTTCAGCAGGTGATGCACTGAAACCGTTAAGACTTTCTGTTGTTTATTTATCAATGATGAACCGTGGTGGTGCGCTTTGTTTGACTGCTTTCATGGATGTAGACTAATGATTTCAAGAATGATATGTGCATCTATGTTACTCATTGGGGGAATAGGACTTATCTGCTTGCTTTTGCTGAAAGATTAGCATATCATCATAGGGGAATGTGGGAGTGATGAGGAAAAGGAGCGCGTGACATCTTTTGCTCATATGCGTCTCCCTTTGTTTTTCCCTCCCTGCTTTTACTCATATATTTATTTATGTTATGTGAAATATTAGTTTTTTCTTTCTTTTCTGACCTACTATATATCCAACATGAAAAATCTTCAGACAAAACATGGTAAATGGGTGCATATGGTGAGACAAACTAATTACATGTCTGGAAAAAATGAACGTTTTGTGGCTATTACACAGCACATTGAAGGCACTGCAAAACATTCACCTTAGACTACATGCCAGCAGACAGAAACTGGTGAAACAAGAGCGTTCCCTTCCCATGACGCAAGCCTAAACAAACAAGTTACGACAAAAATGTCATGTGTTGGAATTCCATTTCAAGTTGGATGAAGGCTACAGACGTACAGTATCTTGTTGCCTCATCATACGTAGTAAAGAAGCCATTTTTAAGCCTAAAACGTCTAGTTTCAAGAAACCTGTGCATTGGTACAGAGATAGCAACTGCTTTTCTGAAGTGGCAAAATTCCTCATGACAAGGGTTAAAAAAGGACCAACTCAAACACCAAAACCAAGCTTGTAGTGCAGTAATCTGTAAATCGAAGTACCTGTTGTGGATAGGATCAGGACCATTGGGCACCCTTCTCTTGCTGTCCTGGAAGGGGTTATCAGCCTTGAAATCCTCCAGAGTCCTCTGCCCTCCAGCGCCTCTGCCCAGCATCCTCCTCCCGTCGATCGCCGCCGGCAGAGCCGCTCTCTTGACGTCGTCCATGACGAACGACATCAGAAGAAGCGCTCCAAACAAGATGGCCAATGCCGCCGGCGCCGCCTGCCTCACGAACACGGCCGGCCTTCTCATGACACCCTCCGGTCGTCGCCGCGCAGCGTCGTCTTCTTCCGTGGCCGCCTCCTCCTCCTCCTCCTCTCTCCTGGCGACAACGCTGGTCTTCTAAGAGCTTCTTCTCATGGGCATGGGGTGGCGCAAATGCGATGGAACGCTGCTGCGGCTGCGGCTGCGCAACGTGACTGCATATTATAATGTGGGGAAGTAGCAGCAGGATTTGTGTCAGTCGCTGTTGCGGTATTCTTGCTTCTTGTTCTGTTCTGGCCTCTGGGGCTTTCTTTTGCTTTGGCCGATTCTGCTGTGCTTTTGAAGGACGTCCCTAATGGAGGGGGAGGGGAGGGGAGGGGAGAGTAGAATCAAAGCAAGCTGAGCCATGCTTGCTTTTATTGCACTTTGCTTTTTGAGTTATGTTGTTTTCCTAACTTTCCCTCTTAATCCCTTGTTTCTTCTTGTGAAGAGAAGGGTAAAAGACAGTGGATGAAAAAAAAAAGAAAAGTTTTGAGAGGCATTGCAGCTATCAGATCCTTAAGGCTGCCCCTGTTCTCCCTCAAGTACATTCCTATTGGAAGGTAATTCAGGTCATATGTGGAAAAGAAAAGGAAATAATTCATCTTTGAGTCATTCTAGGACAGAACAGCATGACACATGAGAGATTGCCATGGCTAAAGTGATGTTCAAAAGCAGCAGCAGCTCCAAAGTGAGCAGCACCCTGAAGAAAGAAACTTCACTTTCATGTGATCTGTCACAATCCTTTTGAGTGTCCTTTTTTTCTTTGGGTCAATTGGTATACAAATGGTCCTTCATCACGAACCAAAATTGTGGTTTTGATTCTCTGCTAAATAAATTCCCTTTGATAAGATATTCTGAGCACGCTCACTGAAGCTCATTCATTTCGAATATTACCTCTATATATCAGTGTAACAAGATTTTGTTGGATTGCTGCTTCCTTCATGCTGGTGCCCCTACATATGGAATCAAGTGACTGGCCAAATAGTAATTATATATTTGTTTCTCTCTCTCCTTGCTCTTGTGCAGGAGGCAGGGTTTCTTTGGCAGATCAAAGCTTGAGGCAGGAGACTGAGGCCAAAGAGCTTCTATATTGTGGAAAGGGCCAAAGAAGTTGGTTATTTTTGAGACAGGCTGACACAGTCGCTGTCCTTAAATCCACTGTGAAGCTAGACAACAAAATAGTAAAGCAAAGCAGGAACAGAGAGTTGCATGCCACAGTGTCACCCCAGCCAGCCTACTGTGGCAGTAAATCACAAATTACAGCTTCTCCAAATTGCAGTAAATTCAGGACTCTTGTAATGCACGAACAGAGTTCAAAACTTCTGAACATTATGAATGTCACTCATCCCATATATCACTCAAATATTGAAGTGTCAGCGTCAATGTCCAAGAAGGTGTGAAACTGCATGTTGCCATCTACCAGATGGGAATCAACGAATTGCAACCTGCACATATTACAGCTCTTGTTGTACTGAGTTACTGGCCTGCTGAGTCTTCTGTGCCAGGATGCCAGCCATGGAAACCGGGCTATTCTCGCAAGCCTGATGCAGCCCATGACACGCAAATCTCGCCCCCGTCAGACAGAACATCCTTCGCTTTGCGTCGTGCTTGATGCATTCAATTTTTTTCACATGAATCCACTTGCGTGCAGACCATTTCTCACGCTCTGTAACACTACAACCCTACACTGCTTTCACTGCAAGCAAGCGACATTTGGAGATAGATTCCACAGTCAGGTTGCGTTTGAGGGGCATCACGATGGAGGCTAACACTCCGGTGGTTACAGTACAAATAAAGTGATCCACATAAACTAAGAAATGTTGAGACTACTATTCACATAACGCAAACTATCACTCGTAGTGGTTTGTAAAGAAACTTTTTGTTTTCATCGTACCTCACATTTATTTCCTCTCCCTCTTCTTTTTTAGCATGGACCATCTTCTCTCTCCCCAGCATATGTACTGCAAGCCACTATAACAAGCATAGAGTACATATTTTTTTATCCGATCCTACATGGCACTTGAGGCTACGAGTAAAACTTGGGGCTACAAGTAAAAAAAAAAACTACGAGGAAGCTCTGAACATTCAGAAAGAGAGGGAAAAAAGAGATAATGAACGTCAGTTTCAGACACCCGCTCGGGCGACGGTGGAGGCGAGAACAGAAGTACAGAAGGAAGCAGGCTAGGCCACGCTCTGTCGCTCTCCCTTTCTGTGAAATCGTGAACGATTTCGGTTTGACGCCTCCGCGAGAGCGCTCCGGGGAACGACCGCGGCTGTGAGGCGTAGGGGCCTAGGCCCAAGGGAGAACCACGGGCTAGCAGGAACAACCGTGGGCTAGCAGGCCGACACGTTGCCTTAGGCCCAGCAGCGGGAGTAGGTTATTTTCGTCTATTTCCGTTCCGCGAAGGTTTGTGTAGGTGATATAGTACCGTACCGTAGAAACATATTTCGTGCGCCATATTTAAAGATGTACTAATCTGCTAGCAATATGCCTCCCAGGAGGCACAAGCTACCTATGTGTAGAAAAATGTATGTACGCACACATGTATGATGAATGTATGCATATAATACACATGAATGTATGTATGATGTACATGCATACACCGGTGCTAGAAATTAGCACGCAGCATTTTTAAATTTTAAGTTTGTGATAGTCCAAAAAATGTGCTTCATACTAAACTTGCTAATTTTACCACAATTGTCCTATGTTTATATCATTTATATTTGTCAAACTGTATTTTTAGCTCCCTAAAAGTCTAAAAGAATAATTTTTATACTAAATTTGCTAATTTTACCACAATTGTCCCATATTCTTGTCAAACTACCTTTTTAGCTCCCTGAATGCTAAAAACACATTCTGGTATCTCACCAAAGCGCTAAGGGTCTATTTATATGAGACCCTACGAAAACTACCTGGCCCAAGCAACACTCCCAGGCCACCAACCAAATAGGCCCTTAGTGTCATTTGAGGATGGATGAGCCAAACATAGTCAGATGGGTCAAGCCCTTGCTCCGGAGGCCACTCATGGCTCGAGGGATCTTGGTAGGGGTGCGGAAAAATTCACCCAAATTGATTAACTGAACCGAACCGATTAAACCAAAAAGTCGGTTAACCAATTTTATTTGCACTTCTTCTATATTCCAGGTGTAGAGATTTAAAGATGATTTCATACAACACTCTTGTATCACCAACTAGTAGAAGTAAATTATTACTTTTATAATTTGTTATTTGTCTTTGTGTCACAATATATCAAATTTTGTCTTTGTCTGACTATAAAAATAATTGTAAATTATTAATTGTCTTTGTGCCAGCATAGATTAGATTTTGTTGGATTTGTGGTTGTCTAACAGGTTTTGTTTATTCTCAGAATAAAAAATTATAGAAATTGTAATGAACTAAAGCTACAATTTTAATATAAAGATATATGCAATACGGTCGCGGCACCTGAATTTTAGCAAGGCCCAAAATTTTTGATTAACTGAAATACTTTCTAACTTATTATATTACACTAAAAATGTGCCCATTTGAATTTTCGAACGTATTTTTTATGAGACTTTATTTGTTAGGAGCATTACTTGTTTTTTCGTTTTGTTTTATTGCATGATCCATATCTTATTAGGTGCTTTCCAATACAATTATATTGCTGCATTATCTCATATATAACTTTTTGTTCAGACAAGGAACCAGCCATTGAGGTATAAATATAAATGTGATGGTACATCGAGGTATTCAACACACAATCAAATAAAAAATCAATCTACTCTCTACCTTTCTTTTGCCCTAACATCTTCCAACCTCCATGTTGTTCATTGTTTGATCCGACGATCAAAGATCGCGTCCTAGGCTTATTGGCTGACTAGGGCAACTCGTCGATGTTTTTGCCCCAACGGAGTCCCTCCCAGATGAGAGCTTCGTTGATTCATTTGATAGTTTGCACGAAAATTAGTCATTCTTCGTCATGTAGGCACGATAGCCATGCTTTACTAGTTTTCTTGGCCGCGCTTCATTGCGAAAGCGTGTTGTTATCTATTGTGTTCTTCGCGGTCTATTTGCAACTCGAGCATTCTAGCTCCTTGTGGTGTGTGACCGATTTTTACGTCAATAATATCCTTGCAAGTTGCCACCAAAGAAAAGCACGAGGACCTTTGTGATGGAGCTCCAGTGCACAACAACAGCGATGAGGCGTAGGGGCCCAGCTAGAGCTCAAGGGGAGAGAAGAGTGGCCCTTGCCACTTGGCTAGTAGCTAAGCAGCTAAACAACCGTCAACAGATTGGGGCCACATGGTGTGGCCTAGGGCCATGATGTCTCGAAGGAACATGGGCGCTATTGAGAATAATGGAAAGTTCAACGAGGATGTAATTCAAAAGTATGGGGACCACTTGCATGATTTGTTGCCGCAAGACCATCTAAGTCATTGATGGTTTTAAAAGGTCATGCCTTCCGAAACCTAGTGGCGGAGGCTTTGCCTTTTCAATAGATGTTTTTGATGTGGTGTTTATGTTTGCAATCTTGCTCTTGTTGTGAGCGGTTTGTAGTGTTAGAGTTGTCTTAACTAGTTACTGTAGCTTTGGTCTTTCATTATAAACCACTTATGGGATCATTTTTGTTTGTTTAGTCTGAGCTTTCTTCTTTTTTTATTTATATAATCGGCAGTCCTTCTACTCGGTTCTTTTTTTTTTACCAAAAACAAAAGTCTCGAAGGAACAAGTCGTCTTCAGCCTAGCGGCAGCTGGTTACTTTGTATATTTCCATTCGGGTCCCTGCATTAACTTGAACTATCGCTCAACCCCCTCTGATTCTGCCAGTCATGAACCGTACGATACGACTAGGCTGCCATGGAGCGTTCTTGCCAAGCCCTCGCCGCCACGGCTCCATGCCGTTGCTTGCCGCTAGGCGTTGCGGTCTTGCAGATCCCTTGAACTTGTTGGCCTCGACGGGAAGCAAGCTGGAGCCGTTCTTTCCTGCTGCAGTGTAGAGTTACTTGGAACAGGATGATGGCTAAAC